CAATTTGGCCCCATAAACGAGCATCGCTCTTTCACAACTAGCTTTCTCCAACCATCTGCACTACTAAGTTGTAACTGACATTTAATTTCCTGACTAATTTCATGAAACACAACCAAATACAAAGGTTTCATACCAATGCTGCCATACCCTATACACAAGTTATCTGGGCGCTTTCTTCATTCTCTCAATACATACTTGCAAGGTGTGGTCGAGAGTACCTACTTTTATGACACCGTGACGCGAACAAAACTCTCTCACATCAAATCAAACTGCGTTGTATAAATCCTAGAAATATATCTAGTCGCAAAATTTGGTGAACGCAGTTCCCTCAGCTAAAGCGATCATATGATCCTTATAAGCAATCACTAAAACAACAAAATGAAGTAAACCTGGTGTACTAACACGCTCATTTGCTGGATGTAGTTTCATGTCAGCCCATGTTTTTAAAGAACGCACATGACTTTGCTGTGCGCTCTAGCACGACATCTTACTCTCATCCAAAAAAAGAGCGCTAGCACACCAACCGCACACCTTATCATAGGTCCTATCGCTCTAACCTATAGCCATCACTCTTTAAAATTTAGCGGGCGTACCAAATCTTCAATTACGACATGCGTGCTCTTATCTTAAAAACTCCTTTCACGCAGTCGGTTGACTGATGCGGGTAACTGCTTCCGCATAACGCTTAAGAACTTAACTCAAAATTTTGACAAAGCTTACACACAAACAAAATTTGAGGGAAGAAAAAGTATCAAAGCCAACTAGCTGTGGAGATCACACAGGAACACCACTTTAAAACCAAATATAAACAAACAAATATGTTTCCAAAAAAACTCCTGTGTCCGACTCTCCAGCCTACAGCCGTCGCTCCCTCTTCAGTCGTACACGCGGCGGTCGAGGACTTGGCGGATTTCGAGGGCGCCCGAGGCAACGTCGCGTAAGTGCTACAAGCTGAACGGCAGCGCTACGCCTCATTTGCGATTTCGGCCGACTTCTGTCAATCTGGCGGAGGGAACCCGAGCAATGCAAGGGAAAGAGTGACGGTGTCCTCTTAGGTCTAGCCGAGCGGTGTTTAGCTATTGTCGCTTTTCTTGTAGGACCCCTTCGACACTCCCGTCCCCGCAAAGCTCTTAATCCCCGGCGCGCATTCCGTCGCGCGAATGCGCGCTGTGGTCTACCCTTTCGCCGCTGGCGCCTTACTTCCCGCCACAAAGGCCTCTTCGCTGAACTGGCCGATGAGCCACCCTCTTTCCTTTTTCCCCGATGCTTGCATCTTCCTTCGTGCCTTCGCTTTGTCGCGCGCGTACCCTTCACCTGTCTACGGCGACGTCTGCGACCAACTTTTCCTGCACCGTTAGGAAATTGGCCTCGGTTCGCGTCATCGATGGGTTTACAGCTCAAGGGTGCTTCTGCACCACCTGCCCTACTGCTTCGACACTTCGATTTCTCGGCAGTGTTGCCTTGTCGGGCCGGTTGACTTGCGCTAACCTTGTGCTCACTCACCCCACGAAACTGGCGCCTTCCATTTGATTTCATTTGCAAAGGACCCGCTGTCCCCTTTTCTTTCGTCCGGCAGTTCAGACGCATACAAATGAACTTTGACGCTGACGCAAAATGCCTAGTCCTGCTTGCTGCGCTAATAGGCTTCAAACTTTTCTGAACATGCGTCGAGCTGCTTGTCTCACTCGCGACTTTGCGACGTCTCTTGCGTCTGCGCCGCTTTCTGCGACTCGTCTCTGAGCCTACCGCTCGCAGCTCAAGGTCGCTAACATTCTCACTGCACTCGTCAGCTGTCGACGCCGCTCCGTCTAGATGATTTTCGAAAAAAACACCTATTTCACCCTCTAGATCGGCGGACAGCTTGACGCTCTTAGGAACAGTGCAGCTGCTGTCCTGCAAACACTCTAGCTCGCATTGCTGAGAGCTGTCTGCGACTGCACTGATATCCCCGCTACCTACTTTCGCTGCTTGTGAGCTTTCTTCGGTGTCCTTGCATGCTTCCACACTGTCTGCAAGATCCACCGTCGCGACAAACACAGGTGAGGTCTGTACCAGTTTTTCTACAGCTATCCTAGCTGTTCCGCTAACAGTTGACTGGCACAGCACCTCGTCGCACTCGCTCTGGCCTCCTTCGTCGGCCTCGCTACGCAGCGCAGCATCTGTAGCAGCACTCAAATTTGGTTCTTCATTGAACCTGCTGCTGTCTTCACACGTGCTAGCCTTATCTACGGCTATCAACTGCACCTCACTTATGTTTTTCTCGCACTTTTCGTGTGCTACACTTACGCACGGCTGAATTTTCAGTCTCCTTGCCTCGACTTTTTCTTCCGACAGTTCAACCACTAGGCTGAGTGCTCGCTCACGCTCGTCACCTCGCTCCCGTTTTTCTATCTCCCCTTTTCGCCCACTATCCACCTTGGTGCTATAAGAGACACGCGGACCTCTCTCAGGCTTGGTTTTACTACCAGCACAACGTCGCGCGTTCTTCACGGGAGCGTTCGTGAGCTTGTACTCTATTCGCTTTCTGTCAACTCTGATGCCGAAGCACCGCAGTAAAGCTGCCTATAGCTACATCGTACCTATTGAACTGTTCCTCGGAAAGGTATAGTAACCTACCCATCAAGCTGCACGGAAGGACACTCGATAAGGCGAAAGACCAATAGTCCTCGTCGAGCTCTAGTTCCCTGCAAACTTTTTCGTAAGAGATTAGATAACTCTCTAAATCTTCGCCCACTTCGAATGCATGGATCCTAGAATTCACCTGAGACCATCGAAAGCACTGTATTGATCTTCTTCTCTCTTCCTGTTTTAATTTCAGGCTTTCCTCCCACTGCTCTCTCTCTTTCTGTCGTTCCAATCTTTCTTTTTCTTCTCTTTCTTTTCTATCCCTGTTTTCCTTTCTTCGCTTTCCTGTTCCTTTCGTTTCCGTTCCTCTCGTTCGCGTTCCTCTCGCTCCCGTTTCTCCTTTTCCTGTTTTTCAAAAATTTCTACTGCGTTTTGAATCTCGTCCTCACTGGCTTTTTGCGCGATCAGCATCCAAATCGCTGTCCTACCCATTCCTTCCTCTATTTCAATGCCTAGATGCTTACCCACACACAAAAGTTCATCCCTTAGCATTGCCTTCCACGACATGATTGCCGTTGTACTTTGGTCCTGCATCTCACACATAATTAGGGGATCCCTACAACTCAAAACTCACAAACGGTAATCTCTCTAACCCACACACAATCCAGCTTCTAATAAACTCACACAATTGAAGCCTGGAAAGTCAAAGCAAAGACCAAGCACTCACCACAGCACAGCACCATGTCGTGAAGTCCATCCCGCCGCTGCCAACCAGTTGTAAGATGTGGGAGGAGGGAGTTGCAGGCGATGGCATCCGGATGGAGGAACTGAACGCTGACAAGAGGATACGAGAAACATAACAGGGGTTTATGACATTATTTACACTTATTTACAGAAAAGAAGGGATAGTGGTTTAACAAACCACGAGCGTGGTGGTTGAACACTACATAGTTCAGAGCCAGGTTCAGAGAGCGCAATGTCCAGCACTCTCCGCGTCGTTTTATGCCCTGTCGGGCTCCTCCTCTCAGAGTCGAACACCAATCACGCACACACAGGTGAGGGAGGCGAGCATACAAGGTCCACGTGAACACTGCACGGTGGTGGCGCCAGCAGGGCTGGTCCTCGTCGTGGGTGTGCCGTTAGACGAGCGTTCCCACGATCCGGGCCGCATACTTCAAAGGGCCCACTGCACAGCTCGCCCAATTAGCGGGGCGATCTGCGTGCGCTGTCCGTCGCGGTCTCTTTCAGAAAGACGCCGTCTTTGTTGGCCTCTCTCGAACGGCTAATGGCGTCTTGGCGACACGACGTCTTGGTCCTCCGGCTAGTACGTACAGTGCCTGACGAGCATAGGCAGTCGGCCGGTCGGCTTGGTGATTGGGGATCAAAAGGGAGCACCGCTCCTCTGTCAGCTCCGGCGCCGGCCACGACCGCTTTGCCGTCACCCGATGAGTCGCCGAGTCCATTAGTCACCGCTTCTGCTTGAAGCGACGACAAAAGGTCCGCTTTAGAAGGACGTGAACTCGCCTCTGCCCGCCGCCTGGTCTGGAATAATCACTCAAATACTTGACAGCGTCGGTAAGACTGGGCGCCGAAGGGATTGAGAGATGAATCCCCAGGCCAAACCTAACAGCGCATGTTCGGTGGTGGTTCTTGCCAGGGGCGTAGCTAGAGTTTTTTTCGGGTAGAGGGGGATGAACCATACCTTATGTATGTTTGTGCGTGCGTTTGTATGTGTGCATGTATATATGCGCAAGAAAAATTGAAACAAGCATTCTGGGTAGAGCAAGGAAGTATCCGTGATTACTTCGGGTGATGGTACGAAACGACATCACATGCCCGGCCGATTACAAGCCGTCCGCAACCGCGGCCTCTTCTTGCCCGCCACTTGTCCTCCGCCAGTGGTCAGTCCCCCCCTCCCCCCCTCTTCCGGATTTATTGTGACCCAGGGTTTTCCTACCAGCTTGTTCCATATTGCGTGATTGTCAGTCGCCGAACCGCATTTGCCACCCTTGGCGACCGCACGACCCCAGCAGCGTTTGAGTCATCGCCGCCGGTCGTTTCATCGGCCGTATTCGATCCGAAATCGTCGCCACTGTGGCGCCCAACTTGCCCCTACGCGTCCGTCCGGCCGAGAATATAAAAACATTAGCTTCACCGCCCTACTCGCTCGAAAGATAGAAGCGAGCGTTCCGTACTGGGGACCCCGCATCCCCCTTTCGATCGATACACGTGGACGTCACTGGCGACTGCAGCGCCGCCGGCACCACAGGGCGACGCCATGTTTGCCGGCGTGCAGACGAAACCGCCGGTGAAATCGGCAGATGAGTCTTCTGCCGGTCCTTTGCGGCTGCACTGTCCGCCGCTCTCTTTCACGTGTGCGTGACCTCGTGGCAGTTTCAGCGTCTTTTCTTTTTTCGCGTTGTCTTCGCCGGCACGTTCCCCGTGTGTGTGTGAGGTGATGACGGGTTTGCGATGAGCGGTCGTCGGGTCTCTGTGTGCTGCTGGGACGCCGCTCGCCGGTTGAGGTGCCCCGCGGGCACCGGCTTTCCTGTGCTCCACGTTCTCCTCTCGGCGTGCCATGAGTCTGCAGCGATGTCTCAAGCCATGAAGGAGTACAGATTGTGAGTTTCTGTACCTGAAGTCTTGTCACCGTCCTTCTGCACGTGTGCACCGCTGATGTTCCTGTAGTGATCGAATGATTACCTTCACTTTGTCTCTGACGATACTCGTACCTGTCATCGCTGATGATTGCTGTCCGGGGTCTCATTGGGAAGGAGGGGTTCTGCGTGAACGAGAAACATCTGGTTTGGGTGTTCAGTCTGAGATCTCCAGTGAAAATGTGTTCTTCGCTTCGTGTCTCTGGAAGGCGGTCGTGGGCCAGGTTCAAGGAGGCCATCGTAAAAGCGAGTTTGTCGCCGTTTCGAGGAACGATCGGTTGTCATCGTCCTGAATATTCTGTATATGTGTTAAATAATTGCTGGCCATTGCGGCCGTACGTAGATTGGTGAAATGCAAAAGCACCCGTGTACTTAGATTTAAGCCCAGATAAAAAAAAATGAAGTGATAAATGATGCTCAATGTCGATCCGAAGTCGCCTGCTTCGGCGTGCCTCTTTGTGACGCCGTGGTTCTTACGCGTGAAATCCCGTATTGTATGATTATAATTATTAACAACATTACTGATCATTTGCTTCTCGATTAGCGATCATCTGGCTTTACAAGTTCGGCACTTGCTGGCCTCATGACAGCCATCGGTTTACGATCATGCGCACTCCCCCTCCCCCTTTTTGTAATCCTGCTGTGCTGTCTCTGAACGCCTTTCTGGTAAATCGAGCATCTAGCTGACCTGCAGTTGGTGTTGCCCGTTTTTATACCCTATGTGCATGCACAGCGCACGTGGCAATACCTGCCGGTTTGATGGCTCGCTCACCATGCATTATGTTGCGTGAGGTCCCCGAACCACGTTGTATGCATTCTTCCGACGAGGACTGGATGGGAAAACGCTCTATGGTTATGGGGAGGGGCTTTGAATTTTTGTAGAAATTTGTTACTGTGCAGGCTACTCAGCCAACTTTCGATGAGTTGTTTTTTTTTTAACGAAAAAAAAAATTGCATCTGTAGTTTGCTTCGTGTTAGGGGACGTGCCATTCTTCCCGAAACTGAAGTTTGCTTAAAGGACAAATCAAGCGGGGTCCTTTGAAATGACGTTGTTTTTCTACCAAACCCTAGCAGACCGCAAACACTGCTGTATTTCAGAGTTTTCTTTCATTATTATTATTATATTGTCGACTGCATTGGCGGGGTGATTGGAAAATCATGAACGATGCCATTTACAGAAACTTTTAACGACGTTCTTAATAAATATGGATGAACCGCCATAATCTACATCTGAACCACTAGCGTCTTTCCATAGAGAGTTTTGCTGCAGGGACCGCCAAGCAGATCGCATTCTCTTTCCCTTGGAGCGGCTGGCGAACAAAGATGGGAGAGTACCGGAGAACGCAAGAACTTGCATACTTAAGACCGGTGGTTCCCCTCACTAAAAATCACTATTTCTTAGGAACGTAAGTGCAAGAATGGTCAGGGAAGTCGGGAAGTCGAGGATTCACACCAGGGCGTGCCACGGAAGCAACTTGAGTGGCCTAAATTTAACCCGGCCAGATCCTTGCGCCATTCTCGAGTACCTTGCGATGCTTCGATTCACTAAATGCAGTTGATACAGCCTTAGCAACAGCGTGCGTATATGGGCAGTGCATATGCGCCTGGTTCATTTTTACTTATTCCTATTTGATTCCAGGTGCGCAGCAAACAGTGCCGTTTTCTATTCGGACATTGAAGTGACCCTCAAACGGTTTTGACGATTTTTCACAAACACATTGCGCCGGTACACCAAGTTCCAATGGTAATTTAGAAACCTATTTGAGCTCCCTGCGTAAACTGTGTAATTTATTACAACGCTTTAAAGCTGCGCTCCAGATCGCTGCGACTCGGCCAAACGCGTTTTCAACCTCCCGTACACCCAAGCGGCACGTTCTGCCCCACTGACGTCATCGTTTCCAGCTGATCTGATTGGCTGTGGAACGCGCAGCCCAGACTGCCGGCATCGGATCGGTGGCGGGATTTACGCGTATGTGGTCTCACGCAACATCGTGACGCAAGTGCCGTGAAGGTGAAGCTTAGCCCTGAGCGCTCGAAGGAGGAGTTGAGGGCATATGAGGTTGAAAGGCGGAGCGGAGAAGAAGGGTACTTATTTAGTACTCGTAGCTCCGTTACGAATGGGTGTTTTTATTTGAACTCTGGTGCCAATGATTTGCTCCAGCAGTGGTCTAATCAAAAGCGCAATGTGAAAAAACCGTTTCAAGGACCCTTTAAGGCGCGATTCTGTGTCTGTTTGTCTTGGTCCCCACATTTTGTATAGGCCTAGGCCAAGGTCTATTTAAATAGGTCGCGAGAGTTCTGGCGAAAAACGGTTAAGAAGCAATTGCCAGTGACATTAGCATGGTGAGTTACGGGAGCTGTGATTGAAGCGCGACTAAGGGTGGAAGGAACGCTAAAGAACAAGTTTGAATCAAAGTCGAAGTTATCGCTATGTTTTACAAATGACATTCATTTTACCCAATAATAATATGTAGGTGTAATGAGCAAAGAAGGCAGTTTTTTATTATTAAGAAATTTTTTTTCCTGGCGCCCTTCTGTTTACGCTATTATTACTCAGTGCAGCCCTTGCACTGCATGGAAATGCGTGCTCGTGAAATTCGTCTGCGAATACACACTCCTTCACTTCTTTTAGTGTACCGCACTTGCTTGCGTTCTCTTCTGTGCGTGAAATTGTGGGGTGCGTTTCGTCGTTGGTGAACGTCTTGAGTGCAGTGTCCCACGGGCAGCGGAACGATGCGGATTACGTGTAACGCAGAGTGCTTTCATCGGTAGCTGCGGAAACGAGGTGCTGTGCAAGGATGCAGTAGCAACATGCCTCGTGACCAATGTCTTCTATAGATAAAAAAACAAAAACAATTAAACAAGGGCAATGGTTCTTAATACAGCGCTCGTTGAACTTTCATCCATCAGTATTCTTGCAGCCCAGTTTCTTGCTTGAGTAGGTAGTGCCTGCTATTACTCGCGTTGTCGGTGAGCAGATCACCAAGATATCTATCACGCTACAATCCGCATGTCTGCATTCGCATACGTAGCGGCAATTTATCGGAATATAAGAAAAAAAAAACATTAACCAAGTGGTGTCCGCAGGCTTTCTTGTAGGTGCTGTGTAATGAATTTCAGTTATTGTGACCATAGAATAAAACTGGAATGTCATGGATCTTGGCGGGACTAGGCGTCATTTCATCCTGTTCAAATGGAAGAACACAAGCATTGTTCATGTTAAAGTACCCGTGTATGTGTGAAGCAAATAAGCAACGCTTCAGATATGACAGGCATACGCTGTTAGTTGCTTTGATCCATTTGCGGAAGATGCCACGTACGCCGAATAAAAGTTCGTAGAATAAGTTTCCTTGTAAAACCAAGGCGAAGTGTATGGTAGTACACTTAAAACATCACTACCTAGTCATGAGTCAGTATTAGATTAGCTGGCATTGACTTGTAATGTACTCGTAAAGGCGACGGCCTCAGAGCGAGTGCTTAGCCATGGCCGCTGAGTTTAGCGATCAGGGGCGTATAGAATGTAATTCGATATCAAATTTCGCGCTAATCCTCACAAGGTGACGCCTCTTGTTTACCTGCTATTGCGTCACATTCGCTTTGTTTTTTGTTCCGGCCGAATGTTCTCTCCTCAGAGATGGCGCTGAGCCCCATGAGCAGCTGATCAACTGCCATTTTATGAACGTATGGGCTTCTGCAGGGCCTTCGCTACCAGTTATATCTACTTTGCCAAGGGCGCCAGCCTTTATAAGCGTCAGTTGTGTTCGTTACGTGGCTGTGAGGGTGGCGTTATTCCCGGAGTTCAATTTTGGCGTCAAAAGCAAAAAAAAAAATTTTTTTTTACTTCCAACCAAGTGTTTCTGGCTTCATACACAGTTGGGTTTCCGTGTTCGTTGACATTGCCGTAAGGTGACAATTATGGATTCTGTACCACGTGCGCCTGTGATGTAAGCGTTTCACATGGTGGCGAGGCCGACATGAAGGCGCACATCGCTTCACTAGGACCGTCAGAACTACGTTCAGGACAACATCGCATGTTTCTTCCAAAATACTGCGATCCGCGCAGAGCGCCTTTTCACGTAAATTATTGTGGAACACAACTTGCCGCTAAGCCTTAGTGATCGCGCAGGCCCGTGTTTCGGAAAATGTTTTCCCTCTTGGAATGAATAAAGTTTTTCTCCTCCTCCTCCCAATGTGTGCGAAGCGGTGTGGACGTACGGAAACAACTGCCGTCGTCGGGCTGAAGATGCCGAAAGCACTAATCACAGAGGACGGAAGCAATGACAGCGTGTCGCAAATGCGTAGTAGTAACTTTCGATATCAGAAAAAAAAAAAAAGAGCTCCCCCGCCCTCCCCATTGGTCTCGCGAATTGTCATGCTTCTTGGTTGGCAAGTATGGGCATATGTTGGACTTCCCGAGTACATCACTGCGTGTTTAGGATAGTGCATGCGGTTGGGTATGTTTTTCTTCAAGCTGACCGATCGCCCCCATTGCATGGGTGCCTTTTAGCTGGTTACTGCAGTGGGCTAAGCTGGACTTCGTGGCGCTTGGTTTTGTCCCGTGGTGCGCTGCCAGATGCCCCTAATGCGCCTCATTGTACGTTGCACCCACGATAACGTAGCGCTTTTGAATAATAGCGACGGGCTTAAGTGCTTAGGCTCTCGAACTAAAGTGTGGAAGGAACCGAACGTTGCTTAATCTATACGCATACATTTTTCTGTGTCCTTCACGTTGCCGGCGCTGGTCATGAGATGACTGAATAGCGATATTAAGGTGACGCAGTTTGTTCATCTCCTTCAGAATGAAAACGAAACTTTGCTTTGAACCGTTATCGGGGGTGTACGGTGACAGCTCAGGTATGAGAGCATTCACCGCTTGGACCCTCTCGCTGCTAACACAGGAAGCCGGACACTTGTGCCCGGGAGGGATGATCCTTTTACGAGTGGATCGGGGCTTCTTCCCGCCC